GGATAACTGGACTAAGAAGTAATTATTAAATGTATACAATACAACACTTAACATTCGTTCTTCATACAGGAAACCCAAACWCCTAAAATAATAATGATGATAATAATAACAATCCAAAAAAATCAGCCCAAAGAATTTTGGTAGGCCATTCGTAGACAACCAGCCCCTGGAAATTAATAATAGTTACTTATGAATCCTACTTTTTCAGGTCAAATAAAATATGTGATGCCTATGGAATWCTAGACTACCAAACAGACTATGTAAAGAGTCTTGCTGAAGAAGTWAATTATGGCTATGAMGTGGATTGCTCTGAATTGGTTCGATATCGATTGGGGTATGCAGCGGATCACCCCCTGACTTACAGAGAAGAAACATGCTACGTCAGTAACCACAGCGGAGTCAAGTCTATCAAACACCATACTCCCTTCATGGAGGAATTTGATGAATCCATGGAAACTTTTCTTCATAGCAAGAAATAAAGCCGATTATAGGAATGTACCTCAAAATATTATTAGGCCAACCATTGATATGTAATAAGAACTTTACTTAATAATGAGATTAAAACAATCTTATAATATTCTACCATAATTTGTTTTATAATCCCATATGTAACTAAAAAAAAACTGCAAAAGGGTGATATCATCACAACTGACACCAAAGGGGATTTTAAGAAACCAAAAAACTGMAATACCGTTATACCCATAATATTGGCTGCTGATCTCTGTATTTGGCTATGACCAAAAGGACTGGAAAAGTCTAAAGCTATTAAATATGTAAACAAATGACACTGAATTACTTTACTACATAGCATTGACATTATTGCAGCCACCATTCTTGTCCGCACCGTGTTATTATTTTATAGCTTTGCACAGGATGTGTTAATAATCTTCAGGTTGTTCTCATACTCAACGTCATCTTTTAAAGCTATGTTCTTGACTATTATTATCCTTATTATTATTATTATCCTTATTATTATCCTTACTATCCTTCCTTATTTTTCTTTCCATGAAGATGAACACTTTCTTTTGTATCTCGATTACTTCCTAAATAAGAAAAGTTCTTTTTATTGGTCTTTTTAGTCGGGCTAGACGTAGGCTATGTCGACTTGAGTTTTATCTCTTTGCCAATCTATCTATCTATCTGTATATGTCATGTCGCGTTTGAAAGACCGGAAGTTAAGAATTCAAGACGTTGACCGGAAGTATGTAATAATTAACTACTGGGTTGGCTGTAAAGCTCAAACGTTAGATTACGAATATCATAAGTAACTTTTGATGCTGATGCTACTTGCGCTTTTATGTGATAAATAGATATTCGTTTACAAATGTGGTATCTGTGATCTCATCGAAATACATCAGTCTTGGCATCAGAGGCACTCGCATATGCGGATCGCATGGAGCTTCAAGTAGTGTGCTTACGAAACTGAATCGATGACCTTTCTAAATGTTGCTAGCTTTAGACGGTCTTGTGTGGGCAAAGATTTCAAATTAGAACAAGAAGAAACTTTGTTTATCAATAACAAAAAGGCGACTTTGATTATTTTATATGCATCTTTTATTTTGTAAAGTATTTATTKTCTTGGCCTGAGAGGTCAATTTGAATTAAAAACGTATCAGACATTATGATATCACTTAGAGACATTTTGTCTACCGCGTTTGATTTTATCAGTCAAAGAAAGGATTTATTTGAAACATTCGCCTGAAAATAACTTTGGAGATTTAACTTGGAGATTCTTCTGACTAGTAAGTTGGTTCATGTACAAAACACTTCGATAAGTATACTTTAAGTAGGTTCTTTTCTTTTTAACAACGGTGTTGATTACGTGACCTTGTAGATAAAATTTACTTAATTACGGAAATTTGCATATTTTGAACTAAACGCTCTTATCAGACCGTGAAGTCGGGCTATTTTGAAAAGTATTGAGAAAGGCAGGATATCGTTTTCCTGGCTCGATATTTCTAACGTTTTGACGTCGTTGCAGAAAGCCGCCAAAAAAGAATATCATAGCGTGTGAATAAGCAGTTTTAAGCAGTACATTAATTAAAGTGAAAGTAACGCAATCTTGCTTTCACTATGCATTAGAAATAAAAAATAYATATTCTACGCCATAATTTACATTCACATATAATCATATGATAGACAGAATATTACATCATAATCTTRTCGTGTTTGAAACCTTTCACTCGTTCTCCTATACCCATGAAATATCCTGTCTTTCTCAATTTTCAAAAACAGCTAGCCAGACTCCACGCTCCAAGAGCGTCTAGTTTTGTAATGAGGTGTGTGTCWTGGTGAGCAACTAGCGTAACAAGTTCATATTGATATCATAATGCCCTGCTTTCTTGCGTGAAAGTCTCGAAACTATTTGCAAGCAAGGATACACAGGATTGTGTTTATATCTCGCTTATTCAACGCAAACTAAAGGAAACCAAACATACAAACGTTACGAAGAGAACGGTAAGMACTAAATGAGAATCAAGGAACATAAAAAAAATGATCAACAGTAGAATGCAGTTAAGTTCAGTTGATATTGATTACTTCCCAGTAGCCTTTATGCAAAACATGAACAGATCTAGAARTTTCCTTTATCACCTCTCTATAGTATACTAGAAAAGTACTACCAACACAATGAGAATAGCATCAGACCACTGAGAACCCATKGGTACAAATGCCAACAAATCATCCTAAGAAGGATCTGTCGTACAATCTCCATATTCGGATGTACCTTTACAGGGTYACTGGTGCACATACAGAACGCGTCTCATGTACATATTAAGTGTAGAAGAATTTAGAAAATTTTCGAACACTTAAACTTAAACTGAAAAGACATTTTTATTAAGAAGAATGTTAGGATTTGAACCAGCGCTATGCATTGCCTAACCCCATATTTTCCCTAAACCTAACCATTAAGGTTACACCCCAACTAACGGAGAGTGAAATTTGTCTTCGCTCTCGCTCTCTCCGCATCAAAAATGCTCATATAGTTCTGACTTTTACATACTTAACCCTTTGACTACTGCGACTTTTGAGAAAAATTAGACATTTTTGAGGTTAAAAGATTTCAAATGCCCTCTTGACACGGTGTTTGCCGTTTCTATGGAAACTTTTGCTGTTTTGTAATACTGAAGGTTCATTATTCTTGCTTCGTTCGACAGTTTGCTTTGTTTTTGGCGGGAAGCTAGACTCCAAGAAATACGGATTTTTGCTGGTTTTTTAGCCTTTTTTGCCTTAAATCACTACTCTGCGGACATCATTAAGTTTGTAGGTAGTCTTGGTGTAGTGTGTCGAAAGAGGTGATTTTAAAAACGAAAACAGTTTAACATATAGCATGAAATTTACAAACTCTTTAGTGATCAGATTTAAAAAGATTTCTAGAAAATTTATTAGTCGTAATTTTCAAAAACCAAATAGCACGTCATAAAGAGCATAGTCAGAATCTAGAATACGAGCTTTAAGTCCTGGTACTGGTTTTCTTTTATATTTCAAAGAAAAATTACCTTAATAAGTTTTCACAGAGTTGAAAGAATGATTTAATCCAATATCGAAGTTTTTATTTACGATCTAAAAGTAGAATAAATTAAACTCCGCACAAACTAAAACTTTGTTTCGCCACCAAAGCGTTGAATTCGCATGAAAATTTGCGTACACACTATCTAGAAGTGTATTTAAGATATACTGTAAGAAGATCTCTTTAGAAAACAAATCTTGGATTTTTCGAGATTTTTTGCTTGACTATGACGTCACATGAAACCCAAGAATAGGCGATTCGGTGAACTTGGACCTTCGCTTAAAGAGTTTCACTTAGAAGACCGTCTAAATGCAAATTCTTGGACCTGCCAGAGTAATTTTTGGAAGTTTTGGTTATCGAAGAACACAACCAACTCGAAAGGCGAGAATCTATATACCCGATAAAACACGCACTCGAGTTCTATAAACGACTTCTAGAACTCCAACATTCAGAAATTGTTATCATTTTGTAAAAATGCGAAAACAGTGATAATGCATATTGAACTTCTAATGAGCATGTGCATTGTGCCACAATTGAAAGAATTTTGATCCCACACGAAAGAACGGCTAGTCTAGCTATAGTGCATGTCGGCACATTGATTCAAACTGATTTAAAACCTAGCAAAGGTCTATGATGCGACATTAAAA